GCTCGTGCCTGGTGGGAACATCGGGTGGGCAATGATGAGGTTTGTCGTCATATGCTGCGTGTGGACAGCGTTCTCTAAAAGGAAGTAATCCCTCAACGCCATGTCCGATGGTTTGGCCGCGTTTAACGTATGCCTGACCATCGGCTACCTCTTCGCGCTTTCTGAACGTACTGAGTAAGGCTGGAAGAAGCGCTGCGGTGGTTAGACCATGATATGGCGTAGAGGTATAAAAAAGCCAGCTTTGGCTTTAATGCAGCCCGCTCTCCTGTTTGGGGCTCAAAGGACGAGGATTGTCGGTGGTTGGAGAAGCTGAGAGATATGGCTTAGAATGTAAATCAGTGGCACGAATGTTGTACGTCTGCTTGTTGAAATACCGTACCTCCTCCCCAAATGAAAAAAAACAATAAACGAACACAGAAAACATTAAGTAGTGTACGGTGAAACAAGCAAAAATGATTGGCATTATCGTTATTCACCTTGATTGTCTAACACCCCTTTACCCTGCTTTGTAGCTCCACCGCATGTTCTGTTATTCTTGTTGCATTGCCATTAAGCTTGCTCGCAAGTCGATGACAATTAGTTTTACAGACGTGCCACAGTATGACAAAAATTCTATATGGTTTTCTTTATAGAGAGCCATGTCAGCACTGGGATTTGCATGCATGGGACACAAAACTATATCGATGGCAAACGCACGCGCACCGTAGTCGCCGAAATCAAATATACGAACCGCTGTGGTTGACTGGGACGGTACAATTGAAACCTGTCGTTTTGTGAGTAACAGCATCGTAGACCAGTGAAGTACTGGACAAATCAATGTGATGCTAAGTGGATGAAGTGAATGTCTACTGCGTGTAGTTGTGACTATTACCTTTCATTTCAGCCAAAAATGTGCACGCATGAACTCGCTGATTGGATAAAAAAATCTAAAAGAATATTAAGCAGTAAGTTAGTAAAGAACATCACTTATAGTATACTGTCTACCAGTTAAAACATAGTCGAATACGGGAAAGTTGAACACTTGTGCACATTCATGGCCGTTCGGGTAGATCGGAATCGTGATGTGAACAGGTTTCAAGAAGTTTGGATGGAACGTTACAGAATTTATGGTGCAATTTTGGCACGCGTAATATGTAACCGACAGATTTCGACAAAAGATGTTTTCAGAGAAATAAAAAACCTCGGATCGTAGTCCGTAATCGGAATTGTTTTCCTCGATATAACCAGAGCAGTAAATTCGAAGTGTGACAACGCAATGAACAACACAAGCTGAAGCAAACACTTCTCGTTTTTTGTATTTTCCATGCCAATTCACAAACCCCATGATTTGTATTCTTCGCTTCAGAAACTGTCGGTGACATGTGCGGACTCAACAAAATACAAGGGAATGAAACCCACAAAAGACCATAGTAAGCAGACAACGGGTTCCGTGAATTCGTGTGGAGAAAAACAAAATATGTTCACTTCATGTAGTCATGCGGCCCAACTCAGGCGTGGTTACCTCACATTTCTACCAGAAGGTTTTCTCAGCACAATAAAGTCAGAGGACTAATAGTGATTGGCGAAAGGTATTTAGCTGAATTTAATCTGGACGATGTATCAGAGTGGATATCTTCAATTGATTTCTCGATCACAGATGACTAAAATGAGTAAAACAACAAATCAAGAATCATCCAAATACAATTGTGCAATGGAATATGAGATTTTAACTGAATATTCGATTAGGCAAGGAATGTGCCATCGAAGTAGACTATCAGGGAACAGAAGGCAATGGAAAATAAATATGACGGTTGACACCAGTAAATCTGTTTGCTTGTTCCCAATATCTACGTGTTTGTTCCGAAAATTGATTTATATATATATATATATATATATATATATANTATATATATCATCAAATACTTCAATTCACTACATTTAATCGAAATCGCATGAAAATGTAAATGAAATTTGGAACAGACAATTTAAATGGCTTACCTATTTGACTTTTACTGGTAATCTTCAAATACTTGTTCATTATGTCTGTTTTCGCTCGTTCAATCGTCACTTTCAAACGCCTCAATATCAAGAGATCCAATATGATTTTCTCGGCCAACCTGAAGTTCAAGGTGTTTAGACAAATTCGAAAATATGCCTCCAATTAACTCAGCCACATTATCTGTCGCACTCAAAAATCGGCAGTTGTGAATACAAACAATACCGATTGACGATTAAATTGCATTCAAGTGTTACGAATCGATACAAAAACCGCCAATCACATGGTAGTTGTCATTTGCAGATTGGTCTATATCAAGAAAACTATTTTGTAAAACTTTTTTTCTTGCTCCTGTGCGATAAATTATTCAAGTTTGCTGAAAAAGTATACTCGGTGCATTTAAGATCAGATGGTTGTCTGAACTTATGGGTAAATGCAAAACCCCAGTGGCTGTTTGTTGGCATAAAAAATAAATATTTGGAGATAATATTGCATTCAGGGTAAATATGAAAGTGGACATAACGCCACACATATCACACATTCAGAGGAATCAACAGTTTATCAAAAGTGAAGTGGTATACGCCCATTACTTGCATATCGCGTTTCATAAAATCATACACCAGAATTCGAGGTTACCGTACAAACGGGCATGTGCACTGAAGCCAGGTTATGATGGTATCTTATGAAGGTNTCCACCGAATCCACTGGGAGAACTGCGGATTGTCAATCCAACAAAACACCTCTTGTTGTATCCGGGATGGCTATATCAGAATGTGTGAACGTGGAGCAAGCTGCTGAGAGATAGCTCAGAAGCTCAAAAATTAGGGAAATTGAGTTGGTATTGGTACGACGAGTATGCAAATGGTTGGTGATTCGAGCTGCTATTGAACCGAACTCTGAGAGGATACATTCAATAAAGCCACCGTTTTTTACAAGCATCAATCAAGGCATGAAGGCAAACGTCAAACACCGGTAGAGCACTCTTTTCAATAAATTATTTGTTGATTGGGCCGGTGTTTCATTTTCATAATACAAACGTAGATGCTATCAATACACACAATGTTAAATATTGAACTGTTTTGAATAACATAGAGCAAAGCTAGATTTTTTAATTCTGCACGAGACACCTCTTCATCCCATCACGTGTACTGTGAGACTACACTTTCTGCTCTTTAAGTTCTTGATAATGTTCAACGGAAGGCCATATGGCCCTATGGCCAATCTGCACTCACTAGCCCATCATGAGGAAGGTGCTTCACTGCCAGTTTTGTACTGTGTTAACATTCCGGTTCTTGCTGTTCGGGCCTGCCCCCGTCAGTTCCTCCTCGTGTACCTGTTACTTACCAATCCCGTGCACAGGCAACTAGTCATCTTTATTAGATATTTCAGTCAGTAGTTGCCGTAATTCTATCTTTCAAATTCTTCCCGTTGAATCGTTAGGCCATGGAACACACACTATCTGTCTTTCAATCCCGTGACAATGTTTGACTCTTTCAACACAGGATTAACATTGTATAGACATTTCCTGATTCTCCCTTTTACAGTACATGTTTAGACTACAGGGTTTATCCGTAACATTATAAATGACTTTAAGGATACTAAAAACTCTGAAAAAACACACTTAACCTACGGACCGCACCGATTTGGTGACAGTGAGGGGGTATCATTACTATCATACAGAGCAGTGCTACTGGTACTCCATGCACAATCAAAGCAAAATCAATTACAGGGATGGATAGGGTATAAACAGTGCGAGAAATTCTTGAGTCCAAACAGACAGTGAAATACAGTTTGTCTGTGCAGTTACGATTATTACGGACACAATTCTGAACTACTGTTCTGCGAATGGATGAAAGTTTTGAAGTCACTGTTAAAAAAACGATTTGAAAAGGCTATATGAAATGGGGAAGAGAAGATATCCCGATGGAGCTTAAGAATGAGATAGCTCTGTGTAAT